TTAAGAGGACCTCAAAGGATAATTTGTTTTACTACAGTTAAACCTCTCTAAAAAGTGTAATGCATTAAGGGAACAAAATTAATTTTCCAAACAAGTCCAACCACTAATCATATTTAACCAATTAGAAATAAAATTTATAGAATAAATTACAAACTAATGCCACATCAACAAAAGTGGAGATACGCAGAAATTTCTCCATGAGACCGCTGGGGCAAATGAAACAACAACAAAAAACAAAAGCAACAATAGCATTACAATCAATTGAGCTTACCGAGCAGGAAACTTGAAAACGCCCACGTCGGGAACTGAGAGATGGGAAGCGCTTTCCAGTGATGGAAAAGGAAACTGACTTCAGACCAGAGCTCCTGCTGCTGGCTGCCTGCTTCAACATTCAACCATAGAGCAACATGTAAGGAAGCTAAATTTTCTAAGTCAATATTGTTCTGTTATCTAAAAATTCACATCATGAAAGAGATAACCTCAATATATGCCTTCTAAACATTCAATCTCCTACCTAGAAAATACCTCACAACTTCCACAGCTTCCTTTAACTTGATAAAGTGTTTTGCTAATCATTTTCTTGAACTAAAACAGAATTATAAAGTTCAACAGTCTACACCAAGTCGACTCAAAACACCAAATGGGACACCGTGTAATTGGTCTTGATGACAACTCTGGTTAATGTAATGTCTAACTCTAACCTAATAACATGCAGACATGGTGTAGCTCCCAAACTTCAAAATAGTATATCAAAAAGTCAATTTGAGCAAGAATGTTCAACTCAAGCTTACTCTCTCGTCTCATTAAAAACTCAAACTTAATGATTAGCGAAAGAAGCTCAGACTTAACCTAATAAAATCGAAATCACCCATTTCGATCAATAAGAAATGGAAGCAAGCTGCAAGATTGACAGTAGACCACAAGGAATCACAAACAAGCTCAACAATTTACCCAGATTCATTAATTCAACAAACCGAAGATCCAAATCTAATAACAAAACCTCAAATCGTGAAAACAAAACAAACAAACATGATGATGAAAATCATAAATCTTGAAAATTAGATTGTAATTAACAACAGAGAAATGACAACAGAAGACGGGGAAAGTAATACCAAGGTGGGCTTGAAGGAGGTTGAAAGAGCAGTAGAAGCTTGTGTGAGAGAAGCCATTGGTGTCGACAGAAGAGAGATCTGATATTGAAAGAAGTAAAAACGAGAAGAAGAGAGAGGCGGAGAGCACGAAGAATGTGTATGTGAGAGAGGAGAGAGAGTGGGTTTTTGATTTGAGGAGGAGGTTCTTCAAACAGGTTTTATAAATGCTGGCGTTTGTTGTTTCTTGGTGTTTGTTGGGATTTGTTGGGCTTTTTCGCTTTGTTTTTATCGAAATTGCGACTATTTGGGCCTCCTCCTCCTTATTTATTTGTTGCTGTTTGCCTCCTTGATGGATCCAGGGTATTTATGGTAATTAATATCTTTGGTGCAGCCACTCTGACAGTTGTCTTCGTTTCCCCTGCCGAACTTGTACTTAATTATCAATTTATCATTGGACTTTTTATAAAAAAATTAAAATTAAAGACTCGAACTAAATTTTATTCTCAATTCCCCCCTTAGCATCTAAATATTAACATTTCATTCAATTTGCCGTTAAATATGAGGACAAATTGATAATTTTAAATGTTGAAATAATATATATATATATAGAGTTCTTTTAATAAACAGAGGGGCCCATACACTTCATCTTTTTCCCTTTAGTTGTAATTGAAAATACATATTAAAAGGGGAGGGGGGAGCTCGAATGGGAAAGGAGGAGGAGGAGGAGGAGGAGGAGGGTGGTTGGGGGGAAGAGTAAGAGAGGAAGAGATGGAGAAAAGGGAAGGTGCCTTGCAGCGGTGGTCATAGGGGAATGATGGAGAAGAAAATGGGTCATTGCGGGGGTTCGTTGAGGGGTGGTAGTCATGGGGGAATCGGGTTAGGATGGGAAGGGGTGAATGGTTTGATTGTGTTGGTGTGCTTGTAAATTGCAATTTCTGGTTTATTCCGTATGCTATATGGCTGGCTTGTTTGTGTGTGGGAAGTTGCAGATGCATTTGGAGCTATAATTTACTCTTCTTCCCAACAAACAATTCATTCCATTTCAATTTCTGGGTCCTTCTCCATAAATAATTCACCTTAATTAATTGTTTTGGGGAGGGGGGTGGTGGGGGTCCATAGGATTTATTTTTTTCATTTTGAAAAATATATTTTTTAATGATTTGACCGATTGTTGAATGACATGTTATTAATTTAGACGATAGGGGGGAATTGGCAATAAAATTTAGTTCGAGTCTTTAATTTTCTAAAAAAAAAGTCATGGAGTAAATTGATAATTAGGAACAAGTTCATGGGGTAATTCGGTAGTTTACCTGAAAAACAATAGTAGTTCGCAAAGAATTTGTAGTTCAAGTGATTAAAAGTATCTATTTCGTAAGATTCGTTTTTCCTCTCTCTTAATATCATCTGTAGTTTTGAAAATGAGAAAGAAAAAAAAAAGCAAAAAGAAGAGTCATGCTATTTCTTTCCACCCTATTTTCTCGTGCTTTTTTTAATGAACTTTTTATATTGAGATGAGCGATAATATACTAAACTCACACATAATACACGAATTCTAGAACTCGACCCCAAAACATTTTTTTTAGGAACATTTGCTCTAAATCACTACACTAATGAATCCTTTGCAGTTTCTCACCTATTTTTAATAGATTATTTCAATGACAATTTTTTCTTTATGTCAAATTACTTAAAAGGACAATTAAATTTTTTATTTATTAAAAACAATACATATGCAGCAGACAACCATGTAAGCATATGCGGTATGCATAAATATAAAACTTAGGATAATGATTCCTTGCAAATCTCATTAGAACTATCATTTTCTTTAATTTTGTTTTTGCTTCGCTTAAAGGATTTGATAGAAAATTATTTTTCATGTTTTTAGGAATATTTCCCATTATTTGGCAATGCTAGGAATGTAACCATGAAATTCCACTTTATTTCCTTTCCCATATTTAATTTGTATAGAAATGAAAAACAAATTAGATTTAATTTTCCAATTATACCTACTCACGCATGTGCCAATTGGTTTTCTTTTTTTATTTTATACCATTATCTAATTTTGTTTTAAATTTTAAATTTTTTAATATGAAAAAGTGTGAATTTACCATATTATCCTCATTTAATTAATAATTTAAATTTTTAATGTTTGCATTAACCAAGGGAATTTTGTGGTATTTTGAATGTTTCAACATTCTCTGCCTTTTGCTTTATATTATACATATGTTAGAAATATAAAATAAAAAAGAATTGTTGTTGGATAAAATTGTAATTCTAAATTGTTAATGGGGACACATTGGTCATGAAAAAAAGTGCATTTAAGTCTGACATTAATTTCCCGTAGGAAGTTTCATTTTCCTCCCTTTTCTTGTGTACTAAGAAATCATTTTCTATGTTTGGATTTACAAAAAATGCGAAATGAAATGATTCCCCTTTCCCAAACCCCTTTTCTTATGAACCAAACACACTGCTTTCCTTGAAACACCAAGTGCAATACTGTACAAGAAACTCAATTTTTATGTTCCAAATTACAAAAAAGAAACATTTATTTATAGAAAAACAATTTAAGGAATTTAAAGAACAATATATGAGATGGGTTGGTCAACTCAGGTAATAGGCATCAATCATATGCTAATTGTTTTTTACAATTAGAACACCATCAGAAAGTCTACCAACTTCATTAAATGCCTTAAGCTATAGAAAACTCCACACGTCCATATGTTTCCCAATCAAAGGGCAGCTGGTCCCTAAAATAGTTAGAAATTGGTTTTTTATTTTCTTTCTTTTAAGATAATATTCAAAATTACTCTAATTTACAACGTAAGTGGGGAGGTTTGAACTCAAATACAAAAAGACGGACACATTCCCATAACTAATTGACATAAACTCACATTATAGGTTGAGTAATTTTGTTGCATACTCACATCAGTGTCTCGTGGTGAATGCAGCTTCATAGGTGTATGTGTAATGTGCACATATATTGCTTGCTGACACACCTTCAATCGATGTGCTGTCTTGGTTGTCGTGCTGGATTTTGAGTCTCTTTGTCAAACTGTGGGTTGCGCAATTCAGTTAGGTAAACTAGAATGCTGTGTTAGCCTTGGCTTTGGTTGCTTCCTAGCTATAAATTCCAACCAAATATTTCCATTTGCTAACACTCATAATTAAATCAAAGCATGGCTAAGTACAAAGGGAAGATTGTCTATTGGTTAGGAAGGCCTAACTTGCCTACATTTGCCAGCTCTTTATTCCACTAGTTGACAAGGTATGGTGCTGAATTGGGCTGGCTTAAAAGCTCCAAGCTCCTGTGAGTTCTAAAAATTAAAGGCATAAAATTCTTTTGGTAAAGCTCTGTTGTGGATGATATATATATTCAGTTAAATGAAAAGATTACAAAATTATAGATCTTTGCTTTCCATTTGCTATCTCCTGCATCATTTATTATTGCAAGAGATCCAGAAAATGACTTGCTTCTTCTTCTTTTTTATCCCCACTCATACCAACATCTCTCATGGCTCTTGATCTGGCTCGTTTGATGTTATTATTTTAATTACAAGATGGGACCAACTGAAAGGAGAATCCGAACTCGAAAGTAAAACCCTCATTGCCCTCACAAGCTTAAAATTCCCCTCACACCCTCTTAAATATTTTCCTTCATATCTAAAACAATCATGTGTGATATAACATCACATACAACATAACATTGATCAAAATTTTCTTTTTGTACTCATTTTTGACTTCCTACCTTTCCCCTTAGGAAAAGGTAAAGAAAAAGGCGGATAAAGGCAGTTCTTATTTTCTTGGCCTCTCCTCCTTTTAGCCTTTTACTTTCGGTGAGGTAAAAAGAGAGACTGTACAAGTGCATGTGGCACAGTCACAGTGGCAGCAACCCACGAACGGCCAGCTCGTCTAGTTTGGTGGGTTTGCTTTGAGCCTTTGGCCCTCTGATGGGTTTCATTTTCTGTCACAAAAATCTATCTTCTCCTCTGATACCATCTTGGGCATTTGGGTCTATTTGCTCTGTTGGGTGTTTGCTAAGAAAGAAAATGGAAGAGAAAGCGGGTACAACCGTTCACAATTGAGAGAGAGAGAGAGAAACACAGACCCACTGCAACCAACAACACAATCCCCAAATGCTTTCTTTGCTTTCACTTCTCTGCTTCGCCTTAACCTTCTTCATATAGTACTTCACATCACCAACACACCAACCTTTCTGCTATTTACAGACTCTCACAATCTCACTCTCTCTCTCTCTCTCTCTCTCTCTCTCTCTCTCTCTTCTTGGCTCTTTTCTTCATCTGGGTTCTTCATATCTGCCTGCGTTTTCTCAGGTTTGACAGTGATGATGACCACAGAGCTTTTGGATGTTCAACCCCGCGAACTCAAATTCACATGTAACTTCTCACTCTTTTTGGTTTTATTAGTATGGTTTCATCAAAACCCAAGAACCAAGAATCCAAATCAAACTGACTTGTTTAATGTTTTTAATTGTCTCTTGATTTTCTTTCCCTCTTGTAGTTGAGTTGAAGAAGCAAAGTTTATGCTCGATTCAACTTATCAATAAGTCTGATCACTATGTTGCTTTCAAGGTATTGCTTCAATTTTCACAACTTTTATTCTGTTTTTCTTAATTATTTATATAGCTTTTGTATGCTCTGTGTTTGTGTGCATGGAAACATATCCTTACTCACTTTTCATGAAAATATGTCCAAATTGATGAAAATGGGGTTTGATTAGGACTTAAGAAGATTGGATTGGTGCTTAATGCTTTGCAATTTGGCAAAATCTATGCGCAGGTAAAAACCACTTCTCCAAAGAAATACTGCGTGCGGCCTAACGCTGGCATCATAAAACCCAAGGCAACATGTGATTTCACAGGTCTTATGTTCTTCATTCTCTCTTCTTAGTTCTTACTCATCCATCCCCATCTTGGGTTCTTGAGTTTTTCTCCAATACGCCTTTGCCGTCATGATTG